GTTCCGATGATCAGCTGTGCCGGAATCCCCCTAGCTGTCTTACTGCTTCGCCCAGGAGGCTTCCCTGAGGCCCAGGAGGCAATAAGGGGCAGGGGGGCACAAGGGGGGGAGGGGCTGTGCACCTTCCCAAGATCCATTTTTTGCCTTCCTGGGCCCCAGTGAAGCTTCCTGGGAGCAAAAATGACCCTCCAGGAAGCTTCCCTGAGGCACAGGAAGCCCAAAAACAGAGCATGGGGGCGCTGCAAAAATGACCCCCCAGGAGGCTTCCCTGAGACCCAGGAGGCAAATAAACCGGGGTTGGTGGTGGTGGTGCTGCTGCAAAAAAAGCCACGCCCACCCAGTCATGTGGCCACACCCACCTAGTCAAGCCAACAGAACTGGTTGTTAAAAAAATTAAATCTCATGCCTTTCCCTGCCCCTGCAGACCTATCTCCATTCTCTCACCATTGATCACAGTTAGATTGATGTTGGCTGACACTCTGACACCGAAAGCCAGCACCTTGATTTCATAAATTCCCGAATCTTCTACTCTGGCATCCCGTAATATCAGCGAAGCGCCTTCAGAAGACCACTCTGCTCGGTGCCTGTATCTCTCTGATTTTGCCACTGCGATCTCGCAAGCATCCCACCACTGACGGGTACCCTTGCAGTTATCAGCTTTCACAATCAACACCAGCCATGGGCCGGTGATGAAATGCCATCGGATCTGGAAGTAGGTGGGCACCGAAGAAGAGAAATTCAACGAGACTGGAAGGAAGGCGGTCTCTCCATGGGAGACAGAAACTGGGAACGAGGGTGTAGACAGCACAAGACCTGCAGCAGGGCCTGGGGAGAGGAGAACAGGAGAATGGATGAGCAGCGAGGTTTACAGAATCTCTCTCTATAAAAGCGAAATACCACTCAGCCATCATCACAAAATCTCCAGAACCATAAAGCCTACAAACTTGAAATTTGGCATGTATGTTCCTCTTGGCTTCTAGGTGCTGACTAAGAAAGGATTTTTCAACATGACCATCAGAGCATTTAGAGTATATTCCCTATATTATTATTAACACGCTCTGCTGCTAATGAGTTTTACTCCCCCTCCTCACCTGAAAAGAAATCTCTTCCAAATGCAAAACACAAGCGGAGGAGAAGAGTTTCAATTATAGTTTTACCTTCCCAACAGCAACCAGCTTTAGTACAGAACAGTTGAGCTAAGCCTCTCCCAGGCTCCTCGGCTGTCTCCTTCTTGCTCACACAGCAAATACTATTTCAGTTTCCATGTTTCAGTTTCCAAACAGCCCTCAACTCTCTCTCACGCACTGACAGGATGCTAGCCAGATGAATACCAATGGATGCCGGTAGGCAGAGGCACAATATTTTTCCCCCTTATTTTCCTCCCTCGAAACTAAGCCCAATCACAATAGTTTCGTAGCAAAGCACGGGTACAGAGCTAGTACAGGATAAGAGTGGGAAGGGACTTTGGAGGTCTTCTAGTCCAACTCCAAATGGCTCTCCAATCTCTTCTTAAAAACCTTGAGTGATGGAAGCATCCACAACTTTTGGAGGCAAATAATTCCACTGATTCATGGTCAGGATATTTCTCCTTAAATCTCTCCTTGGATGTCACTTTAACGATCTTCCATTTATTGCTTCTTGTCTTGCCCTCAGGGGTGTGGGAGGTTAGGTTGAGCCCCTCTCCTTTGGGACAGCCTCTTAACTATTGGAAGACTACCATTATGCCACTTCTAAATATCTCATAACGACTGTAGTAGCACTTAGACTTCTATACTGCTTCACAGGGATTTTACAGCCTTCTCTATGCAGTTTACAGAGTCAGAATATTGCCCCCACCACCACCAACAATCTGGGTCCTCATTTTACCCACCCAGGAATAGCCTGCAGTACTGCATCCTAACAGCCACTGCGCCATCATAGCTCGTCATATTATAATAATAACAATAACATAATAATCTACTCTTAATAATCTAATCCGGCTCCTGCAAGGAGAAAAACTAGATCTAGTTCCTCTGTTGAGCTCCATCATCTCCTTTCTTTTCCTAGGCCATTCCTTATCATTGGAGAAAGGGAGGCCTTATAGCCAAAAGATCTAACCTCCCTTTTGCTAACGGTATAAAAGCTCCCCCCCCCCCGTTTCTTGAGGTTACTCCTAGATCAGAAAACAGACTCCATTGGTGTTGGTGGAAACTCTATTAAATCCTCATTGCAGCCAAAATCAAGCCAAGGCTGCCCTTTAATTTGTCAGAAATGGTGTAGGGTATCCCGCTTTGGGGGGGTTGGACTAGATGACCTACAAGGTCTCTCCCAACTCTGATAATCTGTTAATGGCCCTGCGTTTTTTGGGGGTGGGGGGGCTTGATGCCAGGTGGAGCCCCGTGTTGAAAAGCTTTGGGGTTAATTTAAACCAACCCTCCCTTCCTTCTCTTTTGATGTTGCCCAACATCCACCATCGCCATCGCTGCCAGGCTGGGCTCTGTAGAAGATGGCCAGCCTGAAGCTCCCATCCCAAGAAACAGATTTTTGTTCTCTTTTCCGCTTAGCAAAGCCGCCCCTTTACTCACCCACCAGGAGCAGGAGCAGCCACGGACCTGGCATGGCAACTCAGATCTCTTCTCCTCTGCCTCTGGAGCCCTTTCTCCCCTGCCCATCGCTTTCCCCTTGCGCGGTTCATTTCACTTTCACCTTCCTCTGCTTCGTTTTGAGGAAGTGTGAGGATGGAGCCAGGCCTTCTCCCTACGTGTCCCTGGCTCCAGCAAAATTCTGCCAGCTCAGCTCAAATATAACAACGGTTAAAGACCTTTGCACAATGTGCTGTGGCCAGGGGGGAAAAAAGGAGGGGGATATTTCTCAACAACACTCCCACCTTCCTTTCTGGAGCCCCCCCAATTTACGCCTCACCATCTGACTCCCGGAGTATGTGGACAAAAAGACTTCCCACAACAACTTCAGTCTGCTTCAGTCCTGGATGCAGGCATGGTTCGTTACTCTTCCTCCAGAGTGTCACAACATTCCCAAAAGGATTCAATCTACCCTCAAAAAACCTGGTCAGTCTTAATAGCAGAGGTGGGTATTCAGCAGGTTTTGACCAGTTCTGGAGAACCGGTAGCGGAAATTTTGAGGAGTTCGGAGAACCGGCAAATCCCACCTCTGATTGGCCCTGCACCCATTTTTTCTCTGCCTCCCGAGTCCCAGCTGATTGGCTGGGTCTTCTTTGGTTGCCCTGCATAGGAGAACGGAGCTGGAAAGCAGGTTAGTGGGGTGGGGAGGGAATGGGGATTTTTACAGTATCCTTCTCCTGCCATGCCCACCAAGCCACACCCACAGAACCAGTAGTAAAAATATTTGAATCCCACCACTGCTTTGAAGGCTTAGGAGCCAACATGGCAGTTATGCTAGTCTCCTCCATAAATGGGGGAAGGTCCCCTCTTCAGAATGCAGCCGTAGTTCTCCAAAAACAGACCAGTGTGACATTTTGTGGGCGTGGCTTGGTGGGCATGGCAAGGGGAAGGATACTGCCAAATCCCCATGCCCTCCCCAACCCACTAACCTGCTTTCCAGCTCTGTTCTCCTGTGAAGAAGACCCAGCCAATCAGCTGGGACTCAGGAAGCAGAGAATAGATGGGGGCGGGGCCAGTCAGAGGTGGGATTTGCCGGTTCTCCAAA